TTTGGGTGTGGATGTGTGGGTGTGTGGATGTCGGTGTGGGTGGGGTGTGGGTGGGGTGTGGGTGGAGTGTGGGTGGGGTGTAAGTGTGCGTAACAGGAAATGCGAGACTCATAGCCACACCCACACCCCACTCACACCCACACCCACACCCACACGCACTCCCTCACACCCATCCCACACCCACCCTGTACCGAGTATTTGATAAACGAAACGTATGAAAAGCTAGGATTTCATTACATGTTACTCGAGCTAAGAATCAGAGAATTCTGAGGTCAACTATGAGTTTTTATTTATTATATGTTTCAGATGAAAGATATCGTTATTTTATTACGTCAGATTGTGAAAAATGATCAACTATTTTTAATTTTTCTAAAATAATTAGTACATGCTTAGAATTGACGGCGTGCCAAATTTTGGAATAGTGAAAAGTAACAAAATGGTCAACTACTAGAAGGACGAAGTTCATTACCAATAATCCCGAGTCGAACTATCTGTAATTGTAGTATGAGATTGTGTAAAAAGAAAGGAATGAAAAAGAGAAAAAATTATGCTAGGTATATCTCCCCTTTTTCTTGCAACTCTAGGAAAACATAGAAAGAGGTAATTACATAATCAAAGAATGTTTTAGTTTTAAACCGTTTAACAATAATGATCAGCGAGATATCTTGGAATGACAAGGAAGTAATTCTTGCTATGTCTTCATAAAATGCCGTTTGTAAACGTTTATTTGCATACTGCTATGATATGTTTGTTCGTTCAGGATTACAACAACTTTTGATCGTCAGTACCATCAAACAAAATTTTTTTACATTCAGGAACAGCACACAAAACCTTTTCAAGTTGCACATTAAAGGATGGAGCTTTTCGATTCGGCATGACGCAATGAACAACCGTATATAGTTCAATATTAATGGGCAGAGCCCGTTAGGATTTGATTTTGTTAGACAGAATCTCTTTGCATTAAGATAATCAAGGGTGTGGGTGTGAGTATCAATAAAGAAAAACCCAGATCCACTCATATCCATTTCCTCTTCCTGTTCGTTTGTCACATACAAATATTTATTGTAGCATTATTTTTTCCGCAAGTCCTGGATTACACAACGACCCACCATAGGTTTTAAATGATGATATCCTTTCAGTAGAGGGTGCGCGACGCTCACGTCGCGTTACTTGTCGATATGAATAACGAAGTGAACGTTGAAGTAATAAATTTATTTTACGAGTTGAACTTGTTGGTGAATATTGACCTTTTATTAAATGTTGACGATATTTATTAGATTCAGATATGCCATATTCAGTTGAACTATCCATTGATTTATTATTTAAACTGTACACACGTAATTTAGATGTAAATTTTATAGCATCACCTTTGATAATAAGTGTTTGTAATGATCTATGATTATAATAAAACGTGTTTTTATTTATAGAACAATGGTTACATACTGTTATTTCTGATGGTATTTTCCCCAGTGTATCAGATTTACATATTTTACTTACTGACAGCGGACTTTTGTCAGGCTGCAAATAATCATCATCCTTATCTCTTATTATATCTGGGGAAAAATTCAAAACTTATGCGCATAAAGAGAAAAATAAAATATGCATTTGTATTATATATTTAAATCATGGAAGAGAAACACGATAACACCTATGTGTTAACTTACGAGTGTTTTTCTCGGTGAAAGAGAAAAAAAAAGATTAATTCAAGGGTTGATAACTTGTGACAATTGATGAATGTAAATCCTTCAAAAGTAGATGTCCATCCAGAAGAGAAGCTCAGTTTCAGAGTTATAATTTTCCAGATGTGGTAGAAACGGAGTCAGGTCGAAATATAAATATATGCAGAAATTAAGAAGTTCACTCATTCTGTTAATAACATCCGTTTTTTTAAATAAACATTTATATGTGTCAATCTATTTCTTTCGTTCTTCATTTTTTTTCTTCGACTAATGATAAACTTCGTTCATCAGCGTAGATGCGTCAACCATTATATACTGGAAGAACATTTTTTAAGTGTGCCCTTCCGTATTTTTAGTTTTCTCTATGGTTCTGCTCTGCTATGTGTGATTTTCTTTCCTTGTTGTTCTTCATTATGCGTTTATTCTTGCCTCTACTGGCATTTATGTCATTCCTTTCCTTGTGTGCACTCTTTCTCTTTTATTCTAATCTCTTTTATTCTCCACTATTACTTCTTTGTAGGCGATCACGAGTGTTACGATAAACAAAGCATAAACCAAAAACAAACATTTTTTTCTGTTCTGTATTCCACTTAATTCGTGATAAAAGACATTGACATACACATTTTAATACTTCTACTCCAACGTTAGTACATTTACTTAGTAACAGATATTCAAAAGTAATTCAAATTGGTAATTAAAACTCATTTGGAACAGAAGAAAACCAGCTATTAGTATTACATTCTTTAACTCAAGTAAATGACAATGAGCCTGACAAGAGTTGTCTAATGCGAATTCGAATATAAATCAAGAGTTCAGTGAGCAGCATCGAGTCAGAAACAAATGAAGAAAACTAAACTATAGGTTCTTGGATCGTCAGGAAAAGTATAAAAGATAAAGTTTTTCTTACATATAATTTATACGGAATATATATGGACTAGGGCTTCTCATAAGATGGAATGTGACGAAAAACAGTCGTTCCATGACAGTGGAGAAAAATGTTTTATTGTTCACTTTCCTGCTACGATGGAATAAATAGGGACGACATCTGTATCAAAACATTGTATTGCTCTTTAAAAAAATAGTTTTATGTAATAGAAGACTCCTCAGAGATAAGACAATCTCATCCCACGAGAAGCTTTGATAGGGATAGGCATGTAGGTTTAGACAGAAGGAACAGGGAAAACTTTTCTTAGATATACTGTGCACCTCAACTGACATTCACCCCTCTCGCCCTTTGTTTCTTTTTGTTTTTATCACTAGGCGTCTAATTCCATGGATAGTCAATCATAAAGTTTGATATGAAAGAAAATTTTCTGAATACTTTGTGTTTTTGGGGTTCATTACTCATGGAGCTATCCTATAAATCATATTTAAGAAAATCTTTATCTTATCATTTTTTCTTAAACTTATAGTATAGCAATATCTCTATATATACATGTATATACATTACTTATAAATTATCAAAGAAAAATTTTATCCGTTCTTTTTCTCTAAACTTACAAGACTATCCATATATATATATATATTATTTATAAATTATATCTAAGAAAAGCTTTATCTTTTTCTTTTTCCTAAACTTACAGTAAAGTCTTCGTCATTTATCACGTTTATCATAAATGATGTATGAAGAGAAAAAGGTTTTTTGTTTGGCAAATAAGAGTGCCGTTCATTTTTTTTGCTCCCTTTACATTATAAGTCGGATTAGATAGCTACTCGAATCATGAAATAACAAGAGTATTCTTTAATTATTTCCCGTATGTCAATGTAATTGATTATTATATCTAACATAAGAACGCCTCTTCGTCATGTTCTTACCATTTTCCAAGACACTTAATGATAAGACATTTGGTGTATTATGTTAAAATCTTTGTTTGTTCATTCTCAGTATTAAACTAGATATACGGAGCAGATCATAGCTAAAAATAATTGAATTCATATTTTATTTATAAGTATGTCTTTAGAAGACCGAAGAATATTTGTTCACAAGGTTTTATCATGAAACTTATCATAGGACAAACCAGCTTTTATGTTCAAACTTTCAATTCTTTTAATAAAAGAAAAGACAAGTAGCAGCACGTTCAAGTTAAGAAAGACTCTTGCCCTACAGAAAACTACTCATGGCTAAAATATGAAGTTAAACGACATTCAGCAGTTTTTAATTAAATTTCTACTTCTGTTCCTTTTTATTTTTCCGAGATTCTTACAAAAATTACACGTGTCAATAAAAATTGATCGATATTTACTTATTAAAATAAAAACATGAAGAATAAGAATATAAATACTATAAAGAATAGAATTCGAATTCTATCTAGATGTTATAACAGGTTATTGATGAGAAGATGATCGTTTCGCAATAGCAAAATAATACAATCTACGATATGTAGTCATGGGGTTAGCTATAGTTAAAAATTGAGTTAATGCTGGATTTAGATTCGTAGATTTTTTGGCTAAATGTGATCGTTTTTGAAAAAGTTTACCATCAAGAGGAAGAATATTTTGATAAATACGAAAATTGATTTGATTTGAGTGTGGTGTCGGTGGGTGTGAGTATGGGAGAGAGATGACTATGATTATCTTCTCTTCCCCCTCATTCACACCCTGAACACGTGAATTCGAAAAACTATCCTCATACAGCATAATAGATATTACGATTAACTTCTCGATAGGAATGACATATCAGCTATATCCGGTATTCCAAACACTTGATGCATCCAATCAGAGCTACACCAAAGATTTACAAAAATAACTTAACTCAGAATGCATATCACCATTGGTGCCAACATAAATTAATAAACCGCACTTAATATGAATGACATCGACACATTTCACGACAAAAATCAACAGGACCCATGAGCAAGAACATGGTGGCCTTTATTCTTTCTTCATCTCGTTCATGAATACATATAGGAAACTGCAGGACCTCCCTTTTCTGGTTTCGATTCTGGTCTCGGTTGCAATTAAAATTTCTAATTGCTTCTGGTCCTGATCTCGTTGCTAGGAAAAATTGATTTCTTTAATAATCTTTATGATTCTTTGAATACATATAAAATTCACAGTGATGATTTTGAAAAATTAATAGTCTGAGCATATCTTTATATGCATGCATCAAAACTATGGAAATACAAAACCACCTTTGTTGTCTCACTCAAAATTTTCGTTGGTTCTAGTCGTGTGACTTAGAAAATTCTCTCAGAACTCACACTTCTTGCATAGATACAAGCTCTAAATGAGTGATCTTCAATGGGTATTCCCTCAAGAGTCACTGAGATAGTATTAAATTCTAGGATTTGCAGAACTATGGTTACTATTTTTAGTACGGGTCTTCAAAATGGCTCCGACTCAGGATCGAAAAAAGTGATTTTGCAGATCTATACTTTTGTCACAATCATAAATGAAACGGGTCGATTTGTAAGCTCTTAGTCAGACCAAAATAAAAAGTATACAAATATATAGTTTAGTTCTTGAACAGAAAGTACACCGAAACCAATTTTTAGCAAGTTTTAAGTTCTGATCCTGATCTCGATTATGGTCCCAACGTGCCCAGGAGCAGTTTGCAGTTCCCTAAACACGTCATCACTTTTCACACAGACACTCACCACACTATATCTCTACAACAATCAAATCGAAAACGATGGAGCACAACACATATGTCTGAAGGAGGACCACACCCTCAATTAACTAAATAAAGGATTTTTTTTAAATAATTCTCATGAAATCATGAAAAGAAACCATTACGCAAAAAGCGCACGTAAATATATGGGAAAAGAATTGCATCATTTGAATAAGGACAAGAATAGTATGATGAGATGTTGATAATTAATTTCGCGAGATGAACAATTTTTTAAGTGAAAAACAAAAAACTCATGTGTGATCTAATGCAGATTTCTTATATGAGTATGTTTTCGCACTTCATAGTTGACGAATCATAAAATCTTGTGAATAATCACTGAAAATTTTATATAACAGTGCATTAAATATTATTCTATAGAGATATGTAGCGTCATACCAATGTAAAAGAGTAAAGAGTCAAACAACATTGAATCTAAAAAAACAAGAAAGTGATGTTCATTTTTTGCAAGGTCATTCTGTTAGTAAAGATCAACGATTTGCAAGTTAACTCATTTTTGAATATCTCTACATTCATATTCTTTAACTTTATCATGGAAGAATGATGAAGCTATAATGACCATGAACTTAGCGGCATTGAATTTCTTCGCTCTAATTTTTGTTTGGGATTCAAAGTATTTGCTATAGTTTGTTTTGTTAATGAACGGTATTTTTTTGAGACTATTATGTTCTTTACATTGATTTGTGAGAGAAAGAGAGTTGGAAAAACTTCAACGACTACTTATTCAATGACATGTATGAAAATCGATTGCAATGTACAGTTCGACTTCATATTCACAACTAGATATTTCTTTTTATACAAGTACTTTTTATCTGTGAAAGAAATGGTTGAACTTTGATTGAGAAACAAAAAAAAATATGATAGAATTCTACATGGTTCTAATGTGATTAAAGAATTGATGAATGATTCACAAATAAGTTCTGAAAACTCCAAAGTTTAGATAGAACTCGTTTTAACACATTTCATATATTTTCTCTCAAGAAAAAGAAAGAAAAATCGCCACA